ACATTATTTACTTAATTAAACTAAAGTTTGTTCCTTCTTCTGTCAACACTAAGCGTACTTGAAGGGAGATGAAAATCTTTATATTTACTGCAAAGAATTGCAGGTGTAAGAACATATTAAAAGGACGAGTTTTGAATTGTTGCATATTGAAATTTGAATAATTTAACAGAGTGTAAATTTAGAATGAATAAATTGTTATCTTCTTTAATTCTGTTTTCTCATACAGCTATATTTCCTTGATAGGATTTTGGTAAATGAAGCAAAAGATAGTGACAATTTTATTATTCATTTTCGAAATAGGAAATAAACTACGTTTATGTGAAAACAAGTCTTAACAATTAGCAGTGCATGTGTTATTTTCCAATATGCAAATCCTCGTTTATTTCTTTCTTACATCCGCAATCGACCTTTAAGTATCTTATTTATGACCAGCTAATATTAGTTAACTGCATTAGTAATTCAGTTTCTCACACATTCTATTTATGGGTTTTTAATTCGAGAACTCTCTTTTACTCTTGATAGGAGCAACTAACGAATGAAGAAACACTTCGTCACATAGCTATATTTGTAATAATGACATGCAAAAAGCGTCAATTTTGCAACGTGCAATATATATTATTTGAAACAATTATGGAAATGTGATGTGCACGTGTGAGTTCTATCCCAATTAATCATCAGAGATAATTTAGTTAAATAATAGCAGCTGTCGGATGGTCAGAACTGTTGAGCTGAATGATGTTGGCAGCAAAGCTAGACAAATTGCTTAGGTTGTTGAATGATTACATCTAATCATACAACATTTTATGCTGTAATATCTTCTATTAAACATATGTTTAAATTCGTAATTACGTTCAAATTTTATACACATTTGGGGACCACACTGAAGACTTTACAAATTGTGATGCTTATCAGTTCACTTTTTGTAAGTTGCAAGTGAAAGAGTAAATACAGGTGGAGTAGAGGGAAATTTGGTAAACTGAGTAAAATCAGAAGTGAGTAAAATAGAAGTAAATTCTAATTTAGAAAGTTGCAGCATGTAATTGTCATCCTGTTGGATCGCTTTCACGAAGTTGCAATCAAAGTAGTGGACAATGTATTTGCAAGGATGGTGTCACCGGTTTGACCTGCAATCAATGTTCGAAGGGATACCAACAGAGCCGTTCACCACTCCATCCATGCATTCGTAAGCCAAGCCATATTACTAGCTACTGTAATAGCGATGTTGCTCTATTATGTCTTGAGCTCTCATTTTAAAATTCTCATTACACTGGGGAAAAGTGAAACAAATACTTCATCAGCTATCTTCGGGTTTTTTTTTTAAGGAGCTATACGAATGATGGAATATCGACAAAAAGTTTTCATTTATCAGTTAGCATTCCCACCACTCATATCTTCCTATATTTGGTTACAGTTCAAGTGATATTTATTGAACTAACTGAGAGATAGGAAAATAGTTCGAGAATAAAATAATGTGATACCAGAAGAAGGCAGTGTGTCAGTCAGTATTAATTCATTCTGATCAGTAGAAAGATAAATTCGGAATGGCAAAGAAAGAGGAATAGAAGAAGGATCAGCTGTTGAAAGGTTAATGTGGAATCGTCTTGCAGAGTATTGTTGTCATAACTAAGAGAAGAAAGGAGTGGGATCTCAAACACAATTTGTTCCGAACCGATCTAATTCCACACAGTTGAATATGTCACTCAACACCAAAAACTCATGCAGCGAACCTGATTTATATTCAAAAATGGGGTTCTTTTTGCTTCTCACCCATTATTTTACTTTTTTCCAGCAATATTTCACTGCCTCATCTTTTCCTTTTATGGCCTGCATTTTATGACAGGATCAAGCACCCTCGGTCCACTTTCGTCCTCCATCATTACCCTATCGAGCTCATCAGTATTTCATTTAAGACAAAGAAAAACCAAATGATATTGCTGCATTAAATGAGGGAATTGAACTTTTGCATTCTTTAGCTTTTTCTAACCTCTAAAAGCAATTTCTGAGCAGAGGAATATACCATCTTTTGCTTTATCACAAAATCGAACATATTAATAATATCATCTTAACTATATGTAACAGATATTAAGTTTACATTGTTGATGAACAGTCCAAAGAATTAGAACTGGAAATAAGTTAAGTAACATAAACGACTGTTTTTGATGTTAATAAAAGTTCTTGGTTCTCTAATTAATACGTTTTGTAAATGTTCGGTGATATCTGATTGCGTAATTTATTTTTCAAGTTAATTAAATATAAAATTCTTTTAAGTTAATTAAGTAAGTATAAAAGTCCAAAAAGTATAAATTTATATTTCCTTTCGTTTTCCGTACTACTGAATAAACTTCGATAAATTTCAGGTATTCCTGTCAGTGAGTCGGCAATAATTCATGATGGTGAGACTGTCTATAGCTAATTTTTTTAATTTAATCTTTGATAATATCAACAAAATTATTCTCTCTCGACAACTGTAAATAATTTTTAGCGAAATGTCCGAAATGTAGAGCTGCACCGAAACGATTAACACAGAAAAAGTACTGCAGGAGAGAATACGGTAACTTTTCTAATTTTATTTATGTTTTTGCATTTAATTGATGTGAAGAAAAGCATTTCTCAGGAACTCTGAAATTTTCAATTCAGCGGTTGAAGTACAAGTAACAAGACGTGAAAGCGTAGATGGTTGGAGTAAATATCAGTTAATAGTGCTAGCAATTTACAAGCGTGATACTGGAATCCGTTTACGTCGTGGTGAACAGTCATTGTGGATATCTGGTAAACGTACTGCTTGCAAATGTCCCAAAATACGAGTTGGGAGAAAATATCTCATACTTGGTGCGTATTTTTTCAAATGCTTGTGAAAAGTTACTTTTGTGTGGATGAATAAAGGGTCAGCACAAATTATTGACTCAGGTCTTTTGAAACTTTTTCAGGAAAGATTTTGTAAATCATGATTTTCCTTGTCATGATTTTTTAATATTTGTGACCCATTAAGGTGTTTAAAAACTGATTTTTTTCAGGTCAAAATGATACCAATAATATAAGTCGACCAGGAATTGTTTTTGGTACAAGAACAGTTGTACTAGAATGGAACGATGAAGATTTGGAGAAAATTATGCGTTTTTCCAAAAAAGAAAAGAAAGGTCAATGTCCAGCAAGACGACGATTTTGATGAATTTTTGCATTCAGATTCATCACTCCACTGAACTATCATCAAATATAATGAACACTTTGTAGAGTGAAAAAACTTTCATTGCCATTTTGATATTCTAATTTGCTTTTTCTGAACTGCTGCAAAGCTTAAAACCAAGAAACAATGTTGAATTTTTTTACATTTTGAGTGGCTGGAGAATAATAATTTACAAATGAATTCATTTTTTAAATCTAGGCTTTAGTTGCAAAGATTATTTCTTATTTCAAACTTCTTTGATTTGGCGATTAAAAGTTAATTTAGTTCCATTTTATTTTGAAATAGCAAGTAAAGAATTATTTGGTCATCAAGTGTTACTATATAGCACAATGCACACTGATATTTTGGGTGAAAGAAATTGAGTTTAGTATGACTTTGAGTAATTAGAGAGGCAAAAAAAAGGAAGTTAGAGAGGCAAAAAAGGAACTGTATTGAATATTTTCTATATGATAATAAGGAAGTAACCAATTGCGGGGGATGGAATGCGGGGGGAAGTGAAACCAACTATTTTCTAAATATTTGAAAAGAGACTGCAGTTGACGAGAACAGTTTAAAATACTTCAAACATCCAATCGCTTGTGAAATATTTTCATGTTTACTGATAAAAATAATGCTAATTTGAGCGAGTTCTTACATTCTCGTTCTATTTGAAACTGTTACTGTAAATCGCAAGTCGCAATATATCAAACTGCGACCTTATTTCATTGATCTCATCCAGCTGTAAACTTTCCTATACTCCATTGGAAGATCTGTTGTCTTCACTGTCAGCGCCACAAATTTCCATTGCCATGTATTTATCTAGTATATATGAGATAAACGTTTTTTATTAACAAGTTAACCATTAATGCAACAATAATTTCGTCTTTTCTACACAGTTATTAAATGTCTTATCGTTGTTCACCCGTCTTTATGTTTTTAAATCCCTCTCTCATTACAAAAATCCCATTTCACTAGAAAATTTCAATACAAATTCCAGTATCTTATTCCACAAGAAGGATGAATTACCTTAACTCATGAAAATTTTCATGTTCGTGTTTCTCAGAGATCATAAAAATATTGGACAGATAAACTCCTTTTATAGGTAATAATATAGCAGAGATATACAGAATTAGGCAAGCATGCTTGAAATATAACTACTTTATTTACAATCTCATTTATACATTATTGTTTATTATAACGAGAAGGGTCAACTTTGTCCCTTTTTCACATGAAAAAGATTACCTTTATCCCCTATTTTTGTTCCTTCACCATTGACGTAAAACTCCCGTCAGTTCAAAAAATAAAAAAAACAAATAATGCAACGACTGTAGTTTAGTAAAAAATTTGACCCCTAGAAGATCCTTCTTTCTCTAAAATCACTGAAGAGTCATTTATTCGTATTTTGAGAACATTTTAAACAAAAATGCTGCATTTGTACAAAAGACATGAGAGAAATTAACGACCTTCTTACTAACGAATAGGATATCGCTCTTTCCAAAAAAGGTTCCAGCATTTTTTCATAGAAAATGAAAGTGAATCGTGAACCATGTAAGAAATAGCGAGGAATCAGAATTTGAAATTCGGTTTGCCTGTTTGCTTAAGATGTTGCTCTTGCATGGTTCACGATTCATTCTCATTTTGATCGATGAATGTCCAAACATGAACATAAATTTATATGTTATACGTTGAACATACTACCTGTAATTTATAAGTTGAAATTAAAAAGGGTTCCAGCATCTTTCCATAGAAATTGTCGATAGCGCTTACCACCAACCCGTCTCATAACCGACCAAAATACCATGAAGTCCCGAACTATTTCGTACATGTCTGGAATTGAATGCTATTCTCGCATAGTGTGAGAACACTGGATAAACATTTTCAGAGCGATCCGTCAAATTGGCATGAAATTGAGATGAAACTGGAAGTTACTTGCTCTCAGTTCTGCTTGTTGATCCCGTCACTATTGATGCTCATTGACCTAACCACCAGTGGTTAGACATTGATGTCTACTAGAGTGTTGTATCGCTAAGCGAGATGACTGTCGCTAAACTGTCTCGGCTTTAAGAGCCAGAGAGAGGTGGGGTTGAAAAAGATATTCCTCTGTATTTTTTCTTAAGTCATTGTCCGTTTTAGAAGAATGGGTAATCGAAAAAGGATATCACCGAGGAATTCTCCACCTCCTCAAGTGACCAAGACAGTCAGGAAGAAAGAGTCAATAGATTTTTCTATAGGCAAAATGCTTGTTACTGTTGGTGTTGTTGTCACTGTCCTTGCTCTTGGTGCCCAGTATTTATATGTCAACTATTATTACCTCCCAAATCAAATTTCTACGAAGTCTAAGCTTCCTACTGTTAGCAGAAAATCTAATCCGGTTTGTTTCTCATGAAATTTTCAAAAATTTAGTAAATAGGATCTTTCTTCATAGTTGAATCGCTTTATTGTTTCCTCACAGTTAACAAGGTAAAGCCGGTCATTTTTTGACCACTGTGAGAAAGCAGTGTATTACTATATTTCCAAATGTTCTTAACGCATGTTTACAAATATTTAGCGCATATGGGGTACTTATCGATCACACTTATATTTTGGATTACGAGCCCGATACGAAACGTCACCACTTTTTGGAATGATGTGGTATCGACAGCCAGTTGAGGGCCAATTCCCGCAACTGCGGCACTGGTGTGAGCAGGTGATATTTTTGTCTCGTTGATATTAGACATAACCAGGATTAAAACTTTGTTTTCTCAGAAATAGTGAACTGATTACAGAGCAGTGGAGTAGCAAAATATGCATGGGTCTTAGCGGACGGGCATTCATTTGGACTACAAACGATTCATGATGAACCGTTGGACATTTTCACAGATTGGATAAACGATGGACCCGTGTGGACAGCTCGTGTAACCACCATATCAAATGTGGATTCTAATTTTGCTATTTTATTCTATTTTGCTCTACAGGTATCGTTTCATGGAGAAAAAGAAATGATAAATGATTAACGTGCTAGTTCGAGATGTGTTTTGCTTTCAGTTTTCGCCGTGAAATTTTCACCTAAGGCTATTTATGCTGCATTGGATGCCAGTTTTGGATTATCTTTTCTCTTGTATGTGTTTCATTTAGGATGACAGTTCTAAACTGCGAGCGTTTTATCAATATGGTGAGTTGGATTATTTCACGGGAGAGTCGGATGTGCTTGGAAATTTCACTGTAAACATAAATACAACAGTAAACCTTGCTTCCAGATCTTTTCTTGCCATGAAAACAAACGACGTGCCGGACGTCAGTACTATGGAGGTTAACATTCAAGTTTTAAGGGTACACATAATGCACAAAATCTTTGCACGTTTTGACTTCGAAAGTATTAACTTATGCTAACTTAAGGTTTGATGCTGTTCATGTGTTTCTTTTATTAGTTTTAGAAAAAGTAACTGGCTTTAGTTACAATATGTATTACACATAAGTATTTTAGGATATAATCTTGTCGTCCACCTTAGTTGACCGTTCTCATGGACAACTGCGCCTTCCTAGCGCTTTTGTTTCCAAAGGCAATGTACTCGAAAGCGAACCTCGTCTTATTGTATTGCAATTAAATGTTCGATCGAATTCATCTACGGAAATCTCGTTTTCCGTGGGAGAAAAGAAACCCATAAGAGGTAGATACTTTTGCGAAGTTATACATAAATAAGTATTATAAATGTAACTGTTCGAAATTTTTTTTTACCATGAATTGAGAAAATTTTCTGAGGCATTACATTCTCCCGTTTTTTAGATTCATACCATTATTCTCATTGCAGAAGCATTCCTTGTATCTGGAACCGCTCATAATTATCTTATTTACGTTTCTTTTTCTTGATTCTTCTCGAACTATTTATTTCATTTACTAACGAATTTGTGAAACTATATATAAAACAGACTTAAAATTGTCACTGCACTTATAGGAGTTAACTTCAGGCAATGGCTTTTCAAAACTGTTAGAGCAGAGAACAAAGGGATTCAATAGTAAATTTGAAGCTGTATACGGTTTGTCAGCTAAGGTGTAGTGTTATTTCGAAAGTAGATTTATGTGCATTATGGTATAAATATTTTATATTTAATCCAAAGTTTTTTTTAGAAACGTGCTGCCTTCCTTTTGATGTTGGGAAAATTTGGCCATAAAGCTTTTACGTTATAAGGTAAAGCTGATTTCATTGTGTGATTGCTGTCTGAAATTTAGGGATATCCGGATTTCTACCAAGAACTCGGAAAAGTTGCATTGTCAAACATGTTAGGTACAATCGGCTATGCACATGGATCAAATCGTGTACAAAGCAGCTATTCATCAAAGCACTCACTCTACGGTCCTCACTCCTTGTTATTTACCTGTCCATCACGTTCTGTATTTCCTCGTGGATTTTTGTGGGATGAAGGATTTCATCAACTGCTTCTAATGAAGTTTGATCCCGATTTATCTTTAGAGGTATATCTAATGGTGTTTTACCACATACAGATTTCTTTGTTTCACTGGAAATGATAGATTTTGAAGATTAAATTTTTTAGTTTCTGATTAATGTGTTTTTTTTTTTTTCCATAATGTTGCTGTTTCGGCTTGAAACAGTTATGTCTTTTATTACTAATGGAGTTAGCTATGATGAAAGAATGATGTATTTATCACAAGGAAAAATGAAAGTTGTAGAATATCTTTGCGATGCTAATTAATGAAGTGGTATGCAGATAATTGCGTCTTGGTTGGATACGATGAATGTTGATGGTTGGATACCAAGAGAAATGATACTGGGGAAAGAAGCAGAATTGCGTGTACCTGTCGAATTTGTCGTCCAACGCGATAGCATTGCAAATCCGCCAATGCTTTTCTATTTAATTGAAAAATATTTGGATCACAGTTATGTAAGCAACTTCTGTGCGGTTTATGAAATATAATGTTTATTTTACTTACGCTGTAATCAATTATAATACGACTTAAAAGAGTTTCAAGTTTTAAATAAGTGATTGAAGTTAGCCTTCTTAAAGCAGGAAGAAGTGTTGAAGAAGTTTTACCCTCGATTAAGGCTCTGGCATAAGTGGTTGAATTCCACGCAGTGGGGAAAAAAGAGTGGTACATATCGATGGAGAGGTAGGAATGCAACAACAATTGACGAGTTGAATCCACGAACACTACCAAGTGGTTTGGACGATTACCCGCGTGCAACACATCCTACTGATGATGTATGTTATTGAAAACTTAGTGATTCATGATTATATCATTATCATGATTAAAGTTAAAGTATTCGATTATCTCTATAATTCTAAGACTTGAAGTTCATATTTGTAGGAATATCACGTTGATTTGAGTTGTTGGATGGCGCTCTCAGCGCGAGTACTTTCAAAGCTTGCCAAACTTGCTGGAGATTCGCAAAACGAAGAGCAGTATTTAGCTGACTATAATTACCTTATGGATTTGAGTCGCTTTGATAATCTTCACTGGAGTCAAGCAAAACAAAGGTGTTTGGATCATACAAAGGGTTTTGAACTATAATTTGCTGCCTGACTTGTTAAAAAGCTAGGAAATGATAATGCAGATGATAATTTTCTTGGATGCAGGATTATCGAATTTCTGACGCTGTGCGAATTGACTGAATGATTGACAGTATGCACAGAGAAATTCTTTGTTAAGTGTTACGCTTTCGTAAACGGAGAAGACGTTTTTTTCAATTGGATTTTAAACCATATTTTGAAGATATGACGTTAAAAAAACTTAAAATATCTGTTAAATTACTTTACAGATATTGTGATTATGGACTGCATAGCAACAGTGTAAAATTAGAAAAGAAATTTGATGGCGAAAAGCTGAAGCGTGATTCGAGTTACAGTGTTGCAAGTGTGTCAATGAAACGTGTAGCTAGAACTTCACCAAAGCTACAACTGGTTGAAGATGCTTTTGGATATGTTTCACTCTTTCCCGTGCTGCTCAAACTTCTTCCTCATGATTCTGATAAATTGCGAATTATTCTCGAAAATATTAAAACAGAGGTTTTAAATCTTGTGTACTTACGGATTTTATTTCTGTGTGGTTCTAAACTGCTTTTTAGCTCTATTTTCTAATGTGTGATAAACAATCGTGTGTCGAGAGTGTCGATATCACTGTCAGACAGCTTTCCTATTTATTATATCCGAAGTAGACTGTCTGTGGTTTGAATTAGTTCTTTTTGCTTGTGATAATCCTTCTAGAATCTAAAAAATATTTTTAGTTCTTTGGAAATGGTTATCCCTATTTTGCATTTGCCTAAGTCTAAGTTAATTTCGTTCTCTTTTCTGAATTCCCGATTGAGATCTAACAGTTCAACATGTAAATTTATAGAGATTATGGTCTGATTTTGGTTTGCGATCAATTGCGCCATCTTCACCGTACTATAAAGCTCATAACACGGAACATGATCCCCCTTATTGGCGCGGAAGTATTTGGATTAACATCAATTACTTGATGCTTGCTGCTCTGAAACATTATTCCTCAGTGGAAGGACCCAATCGTGAACTGGTACCTTTTTTTTTCATTTGTTTTCGTGGTGGTTTCAGTTATTATTTTAAGTAAAGAATATAATAGTCTGTATCAGGAACGATCGAAGAAGAAAATTAGGATTACACATCTGTTTTGAGGCATTTGGTGTTTATTCGGATTTGCGAAACAATTTGGTTACTAATGTTGCGCGAGAATTTCGAAGAACAGGGTTTTTGTGGGAAAATTACAACGATGAAACAGGTCAGGGCCAAGGTGCTCATCCATTCACTGGATGGTCTTCACTTGTGCTTTCAATTATGGCTGAGCAGTACGATTAGGTTTTTCTTGAGATGTAATGATTGCTTTTACGCGATTACTTTAATTTCTTATTTGTGCAATGAAATAAGATCGACAGTTCTAACAGATAATGTAAGTATTGGCTAGGCCATTTTCAACATATGCCAAGTTTTGCTCAATGTATCAAAACTCCACAATTATATTGCTCCTACTTATTGTTAATATGTTTATAATATTGTTTTGATTCGAAAATTTATTTTCGATGAAATCAGTTTGATGATATTTTCTGATGGATTATCTGTCGTAAAGTAGGGTCCGATTGGAGTAGGCTGTAGAGTTGACTGTGAAATAGGGTCTGATTGGGGTGTCTGAAATAGTTGCAAAAAAGGCCATGATGATCCTTTTTTAAAGAACTTATGTACTGGA